CTTTGACTATTATGATAATATTTCTCACCCTTCTGCTGTTTTATAATGCTCTATGAGGCATTGCAGATTAGGTTGCTGAAGGTCTTTTGTGAAGTTTAGCTTCATCCTTTTTGGTCGATTATGCTCTGATATGTAGCACCGGATAGTTAGGCTTGTATAGTATTCTTTTGGGATACATTTTGTATATGTATCTGATGGTAATGTTTTGTAAACATGAATGATATTGTGAACCAAACTGAATTATGTATCTAAATGATAACATGTCTTAAGTAATTCAATGTTTTAATCTTCCGTTTTAAATTCTAGATATAGAAGATGTGGGTGTAGGACCAAGTTCCTCTGTTGAACTACCCCACTGTTGCATGTCTTTTATTGGGCAGGTGTTGTATGTTATTTTGGTGAATGATGTGGCATACTTCCTTTATACCATATTTTAATTTACTCTGATGAAATTTATTATGTGATTATGTGATTTAATTGTTTATTTGGGGGTATAGAAGGGGGTGTTACATATCTCTCATAAAGTAATTCTTATATATATACTCTCCTTGGTTGACCACTCTATGGAAATTCTTTCTTATTTGCCTTAGTAACCCTCAAAAAGGGCACACAATGACACAAACAATTAAGGTTCATTTACTGTAGCACGAAACCAAAGCTTAAAAACAAAATAAGGTTTGCATTACACACTCAACAGGGTCGGAAACATAAACCAGGCCCAATAGGGATGACCCTAAACAACTTAATTATTACAGTCACAAACTTCAACGAACTATTTGATACTCATGCAATCCGAATCATATTCTTGGTGAAACATGAAAGTTGTAGATCGTTTTCTCGGCTTTCCGACGACTGGTAGAATGTCTCAATCTGATTCCTGTAGCTCAAGTTATGATTTTTTATTAAAAACTACTAATGCTGAAAATAACAAACGAAAATCAAATAAGGCTGAAAATATATTGAATTGTAAAAACATCATAAAATAGAAAAATGAACAAACCAAACTATAGAAATACTTAATTATAAACATAGAGGAATGTGCATAAAAATGCACTGATCAATTATGTCTAAACATTGAGGAATGTTACAAAAACTTTATTTTTAAGATCTTCGATTTTTTTCTCTGTTTTTCCCCTGATAAAAAAATAATATGAGAAAAAAATTCAAACTCATTTTTTTTAAAAAGAAAAAGAAAGAGTTATCAAACATTAATTTATCAAACTAAATAGAATTAATCGATCTAGCGGCAAAATACTAACCTCTCAGTGGAATTAATCGGTTCAGTGAGAATATTAACTTGAAAACAAAAAAAATAATAACAAAAGAAAGATTTGCAACTCTTTTTTCTTTTTACCAATAAGAAAACGGACTGTGCTCTGACTGTCCGTGGAGGAAATGAGCAAAGCCGAGCAGTAAGATCCGCCCTCTCTAATCGCAATTTCTCCTGATACCCAATTCTGTTCTATCAGAATCAGGAACAACGCACTTCTCATCCGTTCCCTCTCAATTCCCTATTCCAAACCATTACGCGATTTCTTCCCAATTCAGCTCTCCCTCGCATGTTTAAGGTATCACATTTACGCTCAAACTAATTCTCTTCTGCTGAAGCAGAAAATCAAGAAGAGGCAACATGGCTTCCGTCGATGTTATCAAATCCTGCATCGACTCCATTAGACAGGTACCCAAATGCTACAAACCATCATAACTGACAAACAACCCTTTCTAACCAAATTCATACTGCATTCAAATGAATACAAATTTGATATTTTCTTTTTATGATTGCTTTTTTTATTCTGTTTGTATAATATATTTAACCATTTGAACCATTGTGTTCTTTAATTTTGACACAATTTAGAATCAATTGGGTATAGGTATATTAAATATTTTAAGTGGTGATTTTGGTTATGTTTGTATAGTTGTAGGGAAGATAGTACCCAGAATGCATTATTGTTATGATCCTTTTCTTTTAATTATTTCTTGAACTTTAGTCATTCCTCGTCTTTTCCAGATATCAGAACATATTGAAGGTGCAGTTGTTTATTTAGATGCTGGAGCTACAGAGAGTTTCCAATTTATTGGGGCATATCCTGTACTTCTTGAACTTGGAGCGCGGGCTGTCTGTAGTTTGGAAAACATGAGTGTACTTGATGCGGTGAGTACTAGTTTCATGTATTGTCAAAGTGTCTTTCTGTGCATACTGTAATATACAAAGTGTTTTCATTCTTTGCGCGAATAGAGCATGTTGTTTTTTGGTGTTTATCTCTATATAAGACACGAACTTCTTCGTGCCACAAATAGTGAAGGTCATATTCAATTTTTTCTCTTAAGACCCCATTTGAATATTATTTTTAATCGCCTAAAATTCACATACATCTATTTGAACACGCAAAACTGGGAAGTTTTAGAGCTTGCAGATAATGATCAGACATATCCTTTACATCATTTTGTAGTTTTAATTTATAACGAGTGTTGTATGTATTCACATATGTAGTTGGCATCATATGTGTGTGTAAATTCTTTACATTTGCCGGCTTATATTTATGTGGGTTTCGAAGGTGTTTGTTTTATAATAGACTATGACTACTTTTAAGTTCGCCATATTATATATACTTTTATTGACAGTTCCCTTTTTAGGTGGGTGATTGGAACTCGCATTCTGATCCTGCGAGAAAATTGGTGGTTATCATATCACGCCTACTAAGTGACGCACATCGGTATATTTTGCGTTGTCTGACGTCACATCAAGCTGTGTGTCATTGCACTATATTTACATCTATCTCTGAGGTGCTCGTTTCTTTTTCCCTTTCCCATTTCCTTTTAATTTCTTTTTCTTTTCTTGGCTGTATATGTTTGGGTATTATTTTTCCACGTGTATAAAATTGATGCTGGTTTTACCTATATTTATAAAAAAAAAATTATTTTACCTCTGGATTAGAATGTGCCGTGCCTTTTCTTAAACTTCTGACACAATCATGTCAAATATTTATTTACAAGGCTTAGTTCATATTTTTGGAATAATTTGATCTGGATGAAATCTACGTTCTTTTTCTCTTCTTCTTAGGATGAGGTTAACTTTATATGTAATTCAATATTGGAACATGATATTCCAATTTAGTTTTTGCTTTGACTATGCAATTCTATTATGAATTTTTTTTACATGAAATCAGAGATAGTTTTAGAATATACCACCATTAACTTGCCATATATAATAATGACGTCTCTGTCTTTCCGTTGCAATGGTAAAATTAGCTACTAGTCTCTGAAGAATGAATTATATTGCACCATTATCCATGGTTTGTTTATTAGCATGCAGATCTTCGTAATATGTAACTGGTTGGAAAGTTGCAAGGCCGGTTTTTGACTACTAGAATAGATGGCTAGAAGTAACATTGTTTCTTCTAATTATTTAAAAGAATTGTTGTTATTGGTAATAGTAGAATTGATTAGCTGTTGTAGAAAAGTTTGGGCTGTCTCTAGTTCTTCATGCGTGTATATGTCATAGGAATAAGTCAACACAGGTCATAAGCAGTTGAGGTAGCTTAGTTAATCAGCAGTAATAATTTTAGTTTCTTAAAATTATATTGGTCGGAATACAGGAGTTATTTTTCACCAAAGGTAATGCATGAAATCATTTTTTAGTTGAAGGATTTAGCTTCTCTAAAGTGAACATATTTGGAAGATAAAGTAATTAATCTTAACACATTTACGATTTGTTGTGTATGTGCTCTTAACACCAATAGTTGATTTATTCATTAACGATTAAGAATACTTACTTTATCTTCCTAAGTGAATTAATTGCTCACTTTAGGTGAGTCAAATCTTTATAAGCAATGATCATCACAGTGGTAAAAAGTTCGTCAAAAATAAAATTAGAAAAGGGTAAAACTATTTATACGATATTGTAGTTCTAATATCAATTAACAGTAATTTTTTTTCCAACACTTCTTTCCTACCAGCTTTCTTTTGTTTTTATCCTTTTTCTGGATTTTATAATTCTAGTTAAAATGCAGATGGCTCACTCAGTGTTTCCTGATTCACCTCTCGGACCAGATGCATATCATGAATATGAATCTTTACTGGTTCAAGATTATGAAGAGCTAAGTAAGAAATCTGGTAATAAACCTAGGCATATTGGTAGCCTCTTACAGGAAAAACTTAACCTTGAAGATGGAGGTCGCTTGCAGTTTCCTTCCGGTGGAGAGGATGTTCCTCATCTTGAAGGTAGTTCAAGTGGAAGAGATTTTTATGAACACAATCCATTAGACTATATTGCAGACACTGTGCAGAAATTGGTTATTTCTGTTCACCATTTTCCCATGATTTTATGTCCCATTTCCCCCAGAGCATTTGTTCTTCCTTCAGAAGGATTGGTGTCTGAATCATACTTATCAGCTGAACATGAAGATTCCATTAGTCCTGGTTTGCCTCCCTTGAGTACCGGCTTGCTCTCCGATACTGATGATGTGCCTCCTGGGACCACTCTTACAGCACACTTTCTCTACCATTTGGCAGCCAAGGTAACGGATGACATGCATTATTTGGCTGAAATGTGTGCAGCACTTCTGGTGATTTGAATTTACGATTATTTTTCTGGATACAAATTTCTAAGAATTCTTGTATTATATACTACATACAATCCTGCTAAAAGTCTGGGTTCCCTCCCTTGTACATCATAAAAGACCTGTCATAGAACTGTTGCATGCCAGCATCACTTAAAGCCTTTTTTTTTTAAAATATAATAATAATTGAATGAAACTTATCTTTTAAGATTGTTACCGATTGAAATAGACCTTGATCTATATTTCCTTTTCAAAATCTTGGTAATTAATAGAACATGACGGTGTCATTTAATCCATGTAACTAACCCCACTTAATAGGGAATAGGATTTTGTTATTGTATAGAAAATATTGCTATATTTTCCATCAGTCAGTACTTTTTTGTTTGTTGTTTCTACTCTAATTTGTTACCTTGACCATTTTTTCTTTTGTGTATGTTATAGATGGACTTGAAAATGGAAATTTTCTCCCTTGGTGATACGTCAAAAACTGTTGGGAAAATTTTGACTGACATGTCAAGTCTTTATGACATAGGGCGCCGTAAACGCTCTGCAGGGCTTTTACTCATTGATCGCACACTCGATCTTCTCACTCCTTGTTGTCATGGGGACTCACTTATTGACCGTATATTTTCTGCTTTGCCTCGTAGAGAAAGAACAAGTTCCCACGTAGGTTCAGGAAGCCAACTCAAACTTGGTTCTTCTTACCTCCAACGTGCTCCTTTAGATGTTCAGATACCACTTGCAAAGATCCTTAATGAAGATTGGAAAGTAGACAATTTTCGGCTTTTAGAGAGCGTTGAAGCTTTTTTATGCGGGTGGGACTCTGGTAATCCCGATTCTCAGGTTGGAGACTTGATTAATCTTAGTCAAAAAATTCACGACAAGCCTAGTCACGCCGGTATAGATATACTCACGGGGTCTTTTGTCTCCTCTGATAATTTTCGTGGCATGCCATTCTTGGAAGCTATACTAGATAGAAGAACAAAAGATGGGGCCTTACTGGTAAAGAAATGGCTACAAGAAACTTTGCGCAGGGAAAATGTTACTGTGAATGTGAAATCTCGTCCTTCTATTGTTACAACACCTGAGTTGCAAGCTATGATCAAAGCATTGTCCAGAAGCCAATCATCTTTTTTAAGGAACAAAGGAATTATCCAATTGGCATCTGCCACATTATCAGCCCTTGAGGAATCAAATTGCACCAAATGGGATGCATTTAGCAGTGCAGTGAAAATTCTGAGTGTAAGCTCTGGAGAAACCAGTCAAAGTCTTGCCGCTCAAATTGGTGATCTCATAAATAAGAGTGCTCTGTTGGGATCACACGAAAATAAAGGGAAAAGGGATATCTCAAAGGGTCTGATTTCTTTGCAAGATGCTTTGCTGTTAATGATCATCGGATATATTTTGGCAGGTGAGAATTTTCCAACATCTGGTTCTGAAGGGCCATTTTCTTGGCAAGAGGAACGTCTGTTAAAAGAAGCCGTTGTAGACACTCTTCTTGAAAACCCATCTGTAGTAAATCTAAAGTTTCTAGATGGACTAAAGAAAGAACTTGAAGCTAATGTAAGCAAGTTAAAATCAGAGGAAGCTACTGAAGTGCTGGATATTGATGATTTTGATGATGATCAGTGGGGCAAATGGGGTGAAGAAGATGGCGAGGATGATAATAAAAGTGAACAAGTATATGATGACATGCAGCTAAAGTTGGAGTTGCGTGATAGGGTGGATAACTTCTTCAAATTTCTTCATAAATTATCTGATCTGAAAAGAAAGAATGTACCATTGAGGGATGGTTCATTGACCGTGGGAGGCAATTTTGACGAGGATACCTATGTGGGAAAAGGGTTGGTTTATAAGCTACTGACTAGGGTGCTAGGCAAGTACGATGTGCCCGGGTTAGAATACCATTCTTCCACTGTGGGGCGCCTGTTTAAGAGTGGGTTTGGAAGATTTGGCCTTGGTCAGGTGATTATGGTTCCTTAACCTATGCAGGACTTTTGTTTTAGTCGTCATTTTTTTCAAATATGCTAATCATTATTTTTTTCTCCCTGTCGATACAAATGCTGCAGGCTAAACCAAGTCTTGCTGATCAAAATGTCATTTTGCTGTTTGTCATTGGAGGCATTAATGGACTAGAGGTAAAATTCTTGAATGCCATGGTCTGATCTATATCTTTCTATTTCCCGACACAACTAGTTGGTTTCTATCAAGTCGAATAATATTTTCTAAAAGATGACATTGACTGTGTGTTACTTTTCTTCACCTAGGTGCGTGAAGCAATGGAGGCATTGGCTGAAAGCGGAAGACCTGATATAGAGTTGCTTGTTGGTGGAACAACTCTTCTTACTCCTGATGATATGCACGATTTGCTGCTAGGGGATTCGAGTTACTTTTAATTCTTTCAACAACAAATAAATTAGGAGTTTGAAGCTAAAATGAGTTTCGTTTTCCTGAATTCTGTATGTTGTAAGTTATAACTTTTATATAGGCAGGTTAAATTTTATTTTTAATCTTTACAAATGGAAAATAGAGGCAAAGTTTTTTTTTTTTGGTTCAGTCAATTGGTCTTCCCAAAAGTATAAAATAAATAATGGACATTGGATATTGCAGAAAAGCCAGTATGTTGTCTGAAAGAGTTTCAAAACCAGTCACATTGGAAAGAAAAAAAAACTGAAGTGATAGAATAGAATGAAATCCATACCACTCTATTCTGCTCTGTGCCATCAAATTTTAAATGATCAAAACATTAGAATATTGTTTCATTTTATCTCATTCCGTTCCGCTTCATCCGATTCCATCAATCCAAGCAAAGCCAAAGGCCTATATATTACTACCACAGCCTTGAAAAAAACTCAATATCCATCAACTACCTACCTATTAATGAAACATACACATTAACACCCTAAAGTATCCTTTAATCATTTTTACTTTACACTAACAAATATCCTTAATGGTAATTTACTAAATACAAAAATAAGTGACCAATAGGATTCTCTCATTATGTCAAATGACACATGCAATTGAAAAAACCATTTCAACTTTCAATCACCCTATTTCTCCCTCTTTCTCGTTTGCCCCCCTTTCTCTCTCTTTCTCCCTCTTTCTCGTCTGTCCCATTTCTCTCTCCGTGTTCTCTCTTTCAACCAAAACTCTAAATCATCGTCGTCATATCTACGACCATCACCACCTCCATGTTTTCATGTTTTGTGAATCGGATGTCTTTAAATAAAGTATAAAACGATTTCTTTATGATCAAGAAACACACAAGGGTTAGGGTTAACAAAGAAAACAAGGTAAAACAACAAGGAATAATAAGGATTGGTTATAAACTGCTATTCTTTCCTTTCTCTTAGAAACAAGATTACAAGTATACAAGAATAAAAAAATAACCTCTCTCTCTCTCTCTCATAAAATTAGGATTTTATCTTTCTATTTTTTCTTATGTCAAGATTGAGAAACTAGCATCCTATTTATAAGAAAAATAGCACACTAACTTAATGAGTTTTTTAACAATTATCCATTACGAACTAACTTAGAATACAAGCTAACTTAAACACTTGGACTTACAAGTAAGGCACAATCCAATATGTTAACAACCTAGCAATATTGACTAATGTATGTTAGAACAAACTTCGACTACAACATGCATTACTCCAAGAGCAACATGCAAACATACTTCAACCTCATGCTTAATTCCTGTCGAACCAGAAGCTACCCTTCGACAATACGAGAGTTCGATCCAACATCTCACAAATCTCCACCTTGGATCTAACTCTATAATATCAAGAAACTAGCTTTCTTCATACAACTTTATCAACTGCATATAGTGGAAAAACTTGCAACTGGACAACGTCTTGGTGATCATATCAGCAACATCATGACATGTCGAAACCTTCAGCACTTGGACTTCTCCACGCTCGATTACCCCTCTGACGAAATGCAGTCTCACATCAATGTGCTTGGTTCGCTCATGATAGGCTGAATTCTTTGACATGTGTATTGCACTTTGACTATCACATTTAACAGTGATAACTCGACCTTGAAGTTTTAACTCCTTTGGAAAACCTTCAAGCCACAATGCTTCCTTCACAACTTCAGTTAGGGCAATATATTCTGCTTCAGTGGTTGATAGGGCAACGATCTTTTGAAGTGTAGATTTCTAACTTATTGTTGTCCCAAACAATGTGAATACATATCCAGGAATAGATTTTCTAGAATCCATACAACCTGCACAATCAGAGTCGACATATCCTTCGATTGTTGCGTTACTATCTTCACCCAAGGCTCCACCATAAATTATGAATCTATTCAGAGACCCATTTATGTACCTTAAAATTCACTCCAATGCTTGTTAGTGAGCCTTTCCAGGATTCTCCATGTACCTGCTTACAAGACTTACTGCATATGTTATGTCAGGTCTAGTACAAACCATAACATACATCAAAGAACAGACCATAACATACATCAAAGAACCTACTATGTTAGCATATGAAATGCTATTCATATAAGTTCTTTTAACATTAATGTTGTGACACTGATCTATACTCAGCTTGAATTGAGGGTTTGTCAGAGTCACAACAGGCTTTGAATTTGGCATACCAAACTTTTCAAGAACCTTTCATAGGTATGCCTCTTGAGATAAGCATAATTTCGACTGCTTTCTATTTCTTCAGATGTCAATCCCAAGAATCCTGGACGCAACTCCCAGATCCTTCATGTAGAGCTCCTTATTGAGTTTAGCCTTCACCCTCATTACATCTTCGACATTGTTGCTTGCTATTAGAATATCATCTACATAGAGCAACAAAATAACAAATGAATTACCCAGTCGAAATCTGAAGTAAACACAGTGGTCGAACTGACTTCTGATGAAACCTATGTGTGTCATGAACTTGTCGAATCTCGTATTCCACTGTCGAGGAGATTGTTTCAGTCCATATAAGGATCTATTCAGCTTGCACACATAATCTTTCTTCCCTTTTTCGACATACCCTTCAGGTTATCTCATCAGGATTGTTTCATCTAAATCACCATACAAGAACGCAGTCTTCACATCCATCTGTTCCAGTTCAAGGTCGAACTGTGCCACTGTGGCAATCAACATTCGAATGGATTTGTGCTTCACAACAGGAGAGAACATATCATTGAAGTCGACACCTTCTTTTTTAGTGAACCCCCTAACAACCAATCTTCCCTTGTATCTCTTCGACGCCACTCCTTCGATTCCTTCCTTAGCTTTGAAAATCCATTTACATCTGACTAACCTGGCTCCAACAGGTTTCTTGATCAGTTCCCAGGTGTTGTTATCATGAAGAGATTTCATCTCATCATTCATGGCCTTCAGTCATTCAGTCTTCTTTCGACTCCTCATAACTTCCTTATAGTCTATAGGTTCTTCATCTAGAACCTCAATTGCAGAGATTAAGGCATAAGCTATAAGATCTGCATACTCAAGTCTCTGAGGTGGCTTGATGACTCTCCTCGACCTGTCTCTTGCTAGCAGGTAATCATTATCAGTCTCCTCATCTTCGACAACATCTTCTGCGTCTTCTTCAACTTCATATGGGGTACGCAATTCAGCATCAACATTATCCACCTCAACAGGAATCTCTCCCTGTTCCAGCTCTTCATCACCATTATCAGTCTTCGACATAGGTTTCATGGATGCAACATTTATTGAACCACTTACAACCTCAACCTCAAAGGTATACAAGTCTTGTTTCTTCACGCCTCTCAAGACTTCCTTCGACCCCTTCATGAATCTTAGGATACTTTTCTCTCCTTGAAAAACATATCCCTTTCTGTCGAATATACCAAGAGAAATAAAATTTCTCTTCAAGTCATGTACATACCTGACTTTAGTCAATAACCTTATTGACTCATCATGGAGCTTGAATCTCACAGATCCAATACCTGCAATTTTGCAAGATTTTTTGTTTCCCAGCAACACAAATCCACCATCTTGATCACATAGCTCCTCGAACAATTCTCTGTTTGGAGTCATGTGCCAAGTGCAACCTGAATCCATAATCCACTATTTTCTCGAGTCGCCACTTGAGACTGCAAGAACATCAGATGATTCGAAATCATCTTTGAACAATGGCCGCATTGCCATTACCTCCATGATCTTTCAGGCGTTCAGGGCACACCTTTCTTGTGTGACCCTCCTTCTTACGGTGATAACATCGAATACCAGATGTTTCGACACTATAAAATTTCTGTTGACTTTTACTTTTCTTCTTGTCGAACTTACCATCCTTTCGCAAGAATTTTCCTTTAACGGCCAAACCTTCGCTCGTCGTCGAAGGTTTATGCTCCTTTCGTTCGTTCAAGTCCTTAGAATACAAGGCTGATTGAACTTCTTCAAAGATCAGGAACTCCCTTCCATACAAGAGTGTTTCTTTGAAGTGAGCATGTGTTCTAGGCAAAGCACACAACAACAACAGAGCTTGATCTTCATCATCGATCTTCACATCAATACTTTCAAGATCAAGAATCAGCTTGTTGAACATATCTAACTGCTCAGCCAACACTTTGTCTTCACTCATCTTGAATGAATACAAAGCTTGCTTCAGGTAGAGTCGATTCACCAGAAATTTGGTCATGTACAAACTTTCAAGTTTCACCCATAATCCCGATGTTGTAGTCTCCTTTGATACCTGTCTAAGAACCTTATCACCAAGGCTCAACAATATTGCAATGTGGGCTTTCTCAATCATGTCCGTCTTTTCTTTTGCCGTTAATGCAGCGTCCACGACTGTCTCTCACTTCAACGCTTCCAAACAATCCTGTTGAACCAGTAGGGCTTTCATCTTCAAGCGCCACAGACCAAAGTCGTTCACTCCGGTGAACTTTTCAATCTCATACTTTTTTGAAGGCATATTCTCCATGCTCACTGCACCAATTTGTTGTGAATCAGATGTCTTTAAACAAAGTACAAACGATTTCTTTATGATTAAGAAACACACAAGGATTAAGGTTAACAAAGAGAACAAGGTAAACCAAGAAGGATTGATTATAAGCTGCTATTCTTTTCTTTCTCTTAGAAACAAGATTACAAGTATACAAGAGTAACAAAATAACCTCTCTCTCCTGAAATTAAGATTTTATCTTCCTATTTTTCCTTATGTCAAGATTGAGAAACTAGCATCATATTAAGAAAAATAGCACACTAACCTAATGGGCTTTTTAACGATTAACCATTACAAACTAACTTAGACTAAAAGCTAACTTAAACACTTGGGCTTACAAGAAAGTCTCAATCCAATATGCTAACAACCTAGCAATATTGACTAATGCATGTTTGAACAAACTTCATCTGCAACACGCATTACTCCGACAGCAGCATGCAAATATACTTCGACCTCATGCTTAATTCCTGTCGAACCAGAAGCTA